TCTAACACACAATGCCTGCTAGAAAGCGTAGCTTAAATGACGTGCGTGAAATTGATAGAATAAGAAAAATTCAAGCGAAAGGCGTGACAGCTACCGCGGATATATTAGTATTATTAACTTCTTATAACAATTATTATAAAGACTGTAGTCACACTTTCATCCATTTCAGTATATTATTTTCAGTTATAAACCTCAAAGAAATCCTTAAAAATTTTGACAAACCAGAGAAAAAATATAAAGTGATTTACTAATTATGCGATTTCTGATTTCACCAAGTACGCAAGACACACATATATTTTTTTTTGTGTCAGAAGACCTTTGTAGCCCTCCAGTGACACAGCGGCATGTCTGCGGACTCATCAAGTAGAAACCGGGTTTCGATACCTGTGGTGGGCAGAGCACAAATAGTCCATTGTGTAGCTTTGTGCTTAACTACAAACAAAGACCTTCTTTATAAAAGGTGTTTATGCAAGTTATGGATTTTTTTTTAATCTTACTATCTTCCGGTAGGTTTCTAGACGATATTAATATAGATATATAAATATATATAGTTATAATTCATTAGTATATAAAAAAAGAAATATGGATATGATAGTTTTCCCCCTTTCAACATTTCTTGTTTTTTGCTCTCTTTGTGTAGAACGTTAAGCAGGTTCATAATCAATGATGCATGTTCTTTGTGTTTTGCATCAAAAGAGTGAGATTGGGTGAACCAATCGAGTTAAATTCAGGTTTCCTGTGATGATTCTCAAGGGATAAATTATTCTACATTTTACCAAAAGTGTAAAAGTAAAGGCCACTCAAACTGAACTTCTCTAGATTTCCTGCTTAAATATACTGTTTTTCCAAACTACTTCTTTCTTTATGACTTTTATTCTCTAAAATACTACCTATTTACTTTTGCCAATTTTGTTTTTTGTTCTCTTTAAGTTAAATCTCTAAAGTTTCCTTTAAAACTATGATAGTATGGTGGTTTCTTGGAACATAACAAGCGACTCTTTTACACACTCTAGTGCCAAGCTATTCAAATAAAACTTCATGCATTTTGTCCAACCAAACATTTTCAAGTTATCACAGCGATGAAATTGTATCTTGATGATAAAAAAGATCTCCATTTGATTCTTTGCGAAACACTCAAAATAAATACCTAACATAAGAGCAGAGGGCTACTTTTTTAATCAAGTTGATGTTTCGAAGCTTTTCCTTCCTAGTCGACAGAAAATTTATGCTCTCTCAAATAAAACTACTTCTTCAAGTAATATTTGGATTTTACCAGTGAGCTTCTTTCAAATAACGTAATCCTTATCTTCTCTCTGAAAAATTAGTTTCAATCGAATGTGTAAGAAAAGGCAATTTTAGTGATCTCTATAGAAATGTATTTTCTGTACTCTCTATGAAATGTAGTCTACCTTCTGCATACTTAATAGTAGGTTACTTTTTAATACTTTCATCAAGTTTGTAACCCACTAATTTAAGGGTAGACTACTTTCTGGGATTTTAGAAGTAGTCTTCTCTCCAAGAATTAAGCCTTATTCCATTTCAATAAATTAATTCTATGAGTGGTCTCTCTCTCTGAAAATCTCTCATAGCTTTCACTCTCGAACAAATTAACTCCAGTCAACTATTTAGGAATTAATACTTTATTTATTCCTGCGACACTTTGTATCACTGTACACTTACTTTTTATTTGATTGGAGTTTTGCTGTAGTGTATCCCATAAATCTCTATTCATGATCTAGTCATTAGGACTTTAGATCTAGTTTATTTTCTACACTATTTCAAACAGTGAGTCTGGTATTTCAAATGTTTGATTGTATTCGTGATAAAGGAATACTTTCGTCCTACATCAACAGATGGCAGCAGCAGATGGAAAGTAAAACGTGCAGGTCTCATAAAAAAATACATATATTGACGACACTTCTATATTTATTACTGAGTGGCCCCTCATCTCAAAATTATATTTATTCTCTTCATGTTAAAAAAACTGTAGTCATAATACTCTAACAACGCCTCGAAAAGACACAAAACTGAAGTATACCTAAGAAGTGCTCAAAGTTTTATATTATATAATATTAACAGAAAAAGAAGTTTATACACGTATAATACCATACATCACTATACACAGATGATACTGTACATCACTATACATAGACAATACCATACATCACTATACACAAATGATACTGTACATCACTATACACAGACAATACCATACATCACTATCCACAAATAATATTGTACATCACTCTACACAAATAATACCATACATCACTATACACAGATGATACTGTACATCATTATACATAGATAATACCATACATCACTATCCACAGATAATATTGTACATCACTATACACAGATGATACTGTACATCACTATACACAAACAATACCATACATCACTATCCACAAATAATATTGTACATCACTATACACAGACAATATCATACACCACTATCCACAGATAATATTGTACATCACTCTACACAGATAATACCATACATCACTATACACAGATGATACTGTACATCACTATAAACAGATAATACTGTACATTAGTATTCCCAGATAATATTGTACATCACTATACACAGATAATACCATACATCACTATACACAGATAATACTGTACATCACTATAAACAGATAATACTGTACATTAGTATTCCCAGATAATATCGTATATCACTATACACAATATCGTGCATCACTATACACGGTATCGTACATCACTATACACAATATCGTACATCACTATACCCAGACAATATCGTACATCACTATACCCAGACAATATCGTACATCACTATATGCAGACAATACTATACTTCACTATACGCAGACAATACCGTACATCACTATACACAGACAATACCATACATCACTATACACAGACAACACCGGACATCACTGTACAGATACATTACTATACATCACTGTACAGAAACAATACAATACATGAATATACAGAGAAAATACAGGATACCTGTATACGGAAACAATACACGATATTAATTCAATCAGGCAATACCTTACGTCAATATACAGAGACAATGCAATATATCTCTATAGAGTGACAGTATTCAAGACATGGAAGTTACTTTAGGTCTCTTACAATACTTTCAACAGATGGTAAGACGTTGAAGGAAAATATAAACTGAATATAAAGAAAAATACAAATAAAGCTTTTGACCTCTGATAATCAAAGAGACAACACGTTGGAAAGTAAAAATATACGTGCCCTTAAACACAGACTCGTGTTTTAGTAACCTGTTACGGAACCCGACTCGTGGCTTTGAATCATGACCGTTTTTTGTAGGGATTTGTGAAACAAATATTAGCAGACTTTCCTCTAGCCACTTTTCCAGAGTTATCCGGATAACAGGAAAGTGAATTTCAGTGGATTTTCCTACAGCACTGAAAACAACGCTTTAATTCTGAAGGAAAATTAGATGATGTGTTAACGAAATAATTTCTTCACTCATGATTGGGTCAATTTCTTCCCAACAGTGTGTGTGTGTGTGTGTGTAATAAACCGTTTCATAACGCACTATTTTCTTGTTGTACATTGGTTCGTATATTTTTGTATAACGAAGTTTTATTTAAGAAATAGAAATAAACATAGTTAATTGTAGTTTCATGACAAAACTGTGGAAATGTGCTACAGTAAAGACATATTGTAAGCTGTTTTACAAGACTAGGAAATTATGCTTGTCACCTGTTCCTTACACTTTTAACTTCAATATTAAAGCTTGGATATTTCCACAATATATATAAATATATATATAAGAATTTTAAAAACTTATTGTTTATTTTTAATGAAAGTATCATATACACCTAATAAATTATCTTATTAACAAATTAATACTATACAAATTTACATTTTCCTTTTTCACCTAATGAAATTACAGAAAAAATAGGAATAGTTCGGATATTACCAATAATCTGAGGAATTAGTTTTACTTTGCAAAAGGAGAGTTAGCTTGCGTTTATTAAATAATTGCGGTAACTAAAGTATTTAATATTTACTTAAGGTATATATCTAATTAGTAATAAACATTTAATACTATAATGAGATGTTGATTGGTTAATCTTATGATACCATAAACGTACATCAGCTAAGCCTCGTCCAAGTTTAATTATTTTATCAACTAGTCTGTAAGATAAATATGTTGATAATTATTTAATTATTTAGTTTTTCTTTTGTAATACTATATTGTCTTCACTAACAGTGTCGAACTAACTACTAAATAAGTACACCCCAACGGTGATTCAGCGATAGCGCTGAAGACTTATAAACCCAAAAAATCGGGTTTCGATACTCGTGATGAGCATGGCATATATATCCCATTGTGTAGCTTTATGCTTAATAGAAAATGACAAATAATAATTAATAAATATTGCAGACGTGAAATAAACAAAAATGCTCTTGAGGTTGTCTCTGAAATAATGTTAATAATAATAATATTAAAAGCCTTATGTTTCTCACAATAGATGCTATATTTAATAGTCATGTTACATTTTTGTTTTATTTTTAAAATTTTGTAATTGTATATTTTCAAAGAAAACTCATTCCATTCAGTGGCTTACACACGCACAACTTTTGCTTATTGAATAAACTGTTTGAAATTCTAACTTTGACCCTAAGGAACACTTCTATTAAACATACAACATGGCTATGGCATTATATATCTGGTCGCTAATCCTGAAGGAAAAAAAAAATCCTTGAGCCAGATACATTATTTAGAAGACCTCGTCCCTACTGATGACGTAATCACTACGAGGGCTTTGCGAAACAGGATGGGGACTAGATTTTTCTTCAAGTCAGCACAGCTGAACGAAGTTGCTGGCCTTGAACGAGATTTTTATTCTGAACAATCTTTAATAAAAAGAAAGTATAAGTTCAGAAACGCAGGTGGTGAGGTAACTTTGGGGAGAGGGAAGGAGTTTTAAGTAAGGAAGTTTGATTGGTTAGTTTATGAAGGTGTAGCAAACGATTTGCTAAACTGCACCGAGCGCGTGATAATGAGACTTAGTTGAAAAGGCGCAGTCGCTCATTAAGAATATGGAAATTTTATCCACCTGTCTATAGTGTAGTTAACTAGGACTCGACATAAAAGTGAGTGGAGCCATTGAAACCTTGCTAAGCCTACGATAAAGGGACACACGCAGTCAAGCTCTTGTTCTATAAAGACAGGTAGTTAGCTCTGTTACTGAGTAAAGAAAGAAAGCTGTAAATATGGGTCGAATGAGGACCAAACTTGGAAGAGACGTCGAGACTTACAGCACTGAGAAAGATGTAAACGACCTACGACGTCAGTTTCTTGAAGACTTAGAGAGAATAGACTGGACGGGTAAGTGAAGTGATGGAATGTTATAAAATAATGCATGCACTCCAGAATGATGCTTAGGATTTCTCTCTATCGTAAACACGTTCTTTTTATCATTATATATTATTCTTTCGAAAAAATAGCTTGTCGAAAGTTCGTGCACTAGATTGCTATACGTCTACAGAATCATTTATAATGTATGTTACTGCTCCTCGTTATAAAAATATGCTGTATTTTGTATTCAATATTTGTATTACGTAAGTGTAGAAACAGATGGGAAGAAAGTACGACTGTCCACAAAATTTTGATCGCGATCAAAAATATCTGTCTGCTTATCTCCAGGATTATCTTACTACGTTTATATAGTTCGGATTGTCTTATAATGTACACGCAGTTTGGATTGTCTTACAATGTACACACAGTTTGGATTGTCTTATAATGAACACACAGTTTGGATTATCTTATAATGTACACACAGTTTGGATTGTCTTATAATGTACACACAGTTTGAATTGCCTTATAATGTACACACGATCTAAATTGTCTCATAATGTACACACAGTTTGAATTGTCTTATAAAGTACACACAGTTCGGATTGTCTTATAATGTACACACAGTTTGAATTGCCTTATAATGTACACACGATCTAAATTGTCTCATAATGTACACACAGTTTGAATTGTCTTATAAAGTACACACAGTTCG